CTGGCTGCTTTCCATTCCTACCTTCCCTTGTAATCTTCTTCAACCCCTTCAAGCATGCCATCGTAGTTAAGTTAGTACTATTTATTTCCCATTTTTCAGATGAGTAACCATACTTTTGGAGGATACCTGTCTGTACCCGGTCTCTAAGCTTGGTCATATTCAACAATTACTGACTTGACAGCAGTGAGAAGTGCAGGTGATTTTGAGGCATCTGTGGTCGTGCTGTATGTTAGATAACAGGAATAAACTCACTAGAAATACCCTACTTATATGCATTATACCTGGATGGCTGTTTCAGCATTATCTTTGTACCAATTTTATGTTAGTTCTAGTTAATAGATCTGCTCTAGTACACTTAAATATTGGCTTTTTATAAGTGGTTAGCACATAGGGTGCAAATTGCATATCTTATTTCAAATCTATTTAACCCTTCTGCCGGATAGTACCAGTAGCAACTAGGGCCAGGTTCAATATCTAGGGGTCCATCTCACACAGAACTGGCTCGAGCCCCCACCCAGTATCCTGGGAAATTCACACACCCCTTGACGCCTCTGAGAGGCAATGCTTCCCCACTTGCAAGCACAGAATCTGAGTGTAGAAGAGAAACTTAATGAAAGAGAGAGAGAGAAGTGACATGTCATTAACCTAGGAAAATGCCATGAACAGAGTTCATAACTTCCCACGAGTAACCGTCCTAGCTCAAATGAATTGAGCAATATCCTTGGCCTCTCAGGTTCACTAGTCCAACAAGGTAAGGGATCCATTCACTTACCCAAACTTTCACCATACCCCACTTCAAACCCCCCACTTACAGCTCTGTCCAGTCAATGCAGACCCAGACACATCACCGTGATGACTTCCTTCATAGAGCCTGATGTGATGCAACTTGTGTGCTGCCCTTGCTGCCAGCCAATCATATCCTTGGCCTCTCAGGTTCACTAGTCCAACAAGGTAAGGGATCCATTCACTTACCCAAACTTTCACCATACCCCACTTCAAACCCCCCACTTACAGCTCTGTCCAGTCAATGCAGACCCAGACACATCACCGTGATGACTTCCTTCATAGAGCCTGATGTGATGCAACTTGTGTGCTGCCCTTGCTGCCAGCCAATCGTTCCTGCCAGCTGCTCCGCTGGCCGGCTGCCACCGGTC